CCAAAGAATCATTTCAAATCAAGCATCTAAGAAGCATGAATCTCATCTCCCACCCCTCTAAATTCCTTTTCCCCTTACGTTTGCACTTTAGAAATCTCAAGATTTCTAACAGTTGGAAATTTAAATTGCAATAACAAAATATGAGGATTCACTGTGATCCCATATTTAAAAATAACAATGGAGTAAACTTACAGGGATATGTGGTAGCGTAATTGTGACTTCATCTCCTTTGCCAACCTGAAGCTCTCCTTCACAGGAAGTGTCTATAGACGCTGGCTTAAAATCATCTAAAGGTAAAGGAAAAAGCATTACCTGCTGAATGACTTATACTAAGGGGTTCCAGGGCATTCCTAGTAAAGGATTTTCTGTAACATCAGATAAATGGTAGAATACAAATAATTTTTAAATACTATTTCATTATGGAAAACTTCACATGTACAAAAGTAGAGAGAACAGAACAATGAACCCCTATGGACAATCACCCAGATTCAATAACTGCCAACTCAGGGACAATCTTGTTTCATCTACACCTCCACATACTTTTTCTCCCATCCACTCTGGATTATTTTGGAAAAAAAGTCAGAATTTCAATGCCATTTTATTAAGCACGGATACTCCTTCTCCTAAAAGACAGATGGAAATTGGTGTTGCATTATCCATAATAAGGCATTTTTCTAGGGTTGTTGTGAGGATCAAAAGCAACAGAACACATGAAAAAGATTCTGCAATTATAAAGCCCTATATGAAACATGAAAGACCACAGCATCATACAAGCTTATTTCATTTGACATAGGAACTGTCAAAGTTAGGATATGCCACACGCCATTTCCAGAGCTTTGACAAAGATACCACTGTAGATGTTCAGCGAAGATAGCTGAACTATCTCCAAAAGTTATCCTGCCCATATTTCTGAATTACAGTCAAAGTAGATGATTACCCATCTTACTCCATTTTACATCACACCTGCCTCAAACTGCAGGGCAGGTGCATGAGTGAACCATCTTATTTAAATCCCACATTGCCCTTCACCCCATGAAAACATCAACCTAGTGAATGGTTCAGAAAATGATGTCCTGATCACACTCCTAACATCCTCTCTGAAAGAGATGGACCTGCTGTCAGTAGGAAGCACAGCAATAGCATGTCAAGTGACCACACAAAGATGGAACTTCATTAGCTAACAGGCCCTCTTCCTACATGTTGAGTCACATCTATTAGCTCCTCTGACAAAAACAAGTCTTAACCAGCGTTAGCGCTACCAAGACGGGAAACCAGGGCTTGTGAATCACAGACGGATGCTCAGTCAGCCAATTTCTACCAGCCAAAGCTTTATCCAGGTCACAGAGTGGAAATGGGCCTCCCTCAACAGAGTCTATAATCATGTAGAAAAAGAAGGTGCAGCATAATGGCTATTTTGACATTCCATATGCCTATGCTCTCTTCTGCTTCCAAACATAGATCAAATTTTAACCTATCCCAGGCCTACAAATTCTAATTTTATTCTTCACCCACAAAGCACTTGGTACGGAGGAAAAGTCAGGGTAGTACTGGTGACCTCAAAAGACATCGAAGTCAAACGAGGCACGGAAACCTAGAAGAGAAGGACGCCGATGGGGTGCAAAGGGTGCGGATCTTTTGGCCGGAGAGGGGAGGAAGCGCAGCGTCAGGGTGGCCAGAACTAAGATGGGCGAGGAAAGAGAGCGGAGGAAATGGGGGCGAAGAGAACGGAGGAGCAGAAGGGGAGTAGATGAGGGTCCTTTAAACGTGGAGACTCCGGGTGGGAGAATCAGAAAGGGGGATTGAATGGATCAGAGGGGAAAGAACGGGGGTCTGGTGTTGGCTCCCAGCCTTTCGGGAATGAAAACGGGGAAGTTTTGGCTTAAGGGCTGGGTGGAAAAGAGAAAACGGTCAGTAACGTTCGGAAGAAGAGCTTGGGACTATGAGGTAGAAGAATAGTCGGGAGTGACGAAGAGTTTGGTTTAGGGAGAGCTGAAAAAAGGAAAAAGCCAAGGTCCGGAGGATTTGAAATAAGAGAGAAGGCAAACGGTTCCCTGGACTTTGGGAGGCTAAGAGAAATGAAGAGGGAGTTGAGGCTGGCAAAGGGGGCTGGGCGGCCGAAGGGGGCCGTGAGGGGAGCTGACTTACAGCGAATGGTGTGGAAGGAGGCCCGCGGCCGCTTCTCGAAGCTCTCCCCGAGCCGGAGGCAGTGCTCCTCGCGGTCCAGCAGCGGGTTCGCCGTTCCGTTCATGGCCCCGCGCGAGCCTCGCGCCCGGCCCGGCGCTCTCCCGGCGCGGTCGCGGCCCGAGCTTCCGGCGCCGGCGTCCGGGAAAGCGGTGGGCCCGGAACACCGCTCCGGAGCGCGGGGAAAGCCGAGCCGGCACCCACCAGGGGCCGGAACCAAGTCCCCTTCTCCGCGTCGGGGTGGGGGAAGACTCTGAGGAAGTGAGGCCGCGGGACTTCCGGCGTTGGGGAGGGACTGCTGGGTTCGTGGCGGAAGTCGTGGGGGCGGTGCCATGGCAAAAGTATTCCGTCTAGAGAATCCCAGTTCGAGACCTGCCAAGCTGCTTTGTCCAATCTCGGAGTTACCCGCGACTGCTCCCAAATTCTGCCTCCGAGCGCTGGGCCTGGCTGAGGGGTGAGTACGCCCGGCCCTGCCCCTAAAGGAGAACCTTGTAACGGATGAGGATGGGTCCCAGAGCGCGGCAGCCTAGATTAACCCAGATCTAACAGCCAGTGTGGCCTGCTCTCTGCAGGCCCTAGAGGCCCGCAGGGGCCTAATTTATCTGGGGTGTCCTCAGAAGGACATGAAAGACCCCTCACCACGCGTCACTGGTCTCTTCGTCCCTTTAGCGTCGTGATAGGGGTGCGAAGGCCTCAGTCCCTGGGAAGCGACACCCCTACTGGCTCGTGCGACAGCCCCTTGTGAGTGCTGACCTTGTCATATAGACTCAGGCCACCCGCGCTTAGCTCCAGCTCCCCCGACAAAACGGGAGCCTTTATCCTGCAGGCTGGGAAACGATTATCTCACTTCTGTCTGGCCACTGACTGATCATTCGCTTCCAGTTCGTGCAGCATTTGTTGCTGCGATTGTTTTTAAGTTACTCTCTTCAGGGACAGTTATTTTTGGGGAGTTCCTTTTTCTAAACTGTGAGGATGTATTGTAATAGTTGACTTATTATGCTTTGAGTTAGAGTTGGGTGCATGCGACAGTCCTGGCCACTGAATGTAAGCTCTCTGAAGTTAGGGACTTTGTCTTGGTCTTTGTTACAGATTGAGTTGTATCCTCCCAAAAATATTTGTTGGAATCCTAACCGTGACACCTGTGAATGTAATTCCCTTCGGGAGTAGAGCTTTCTTAGTTATGTTAATGAATCCATGCCAGTGTAGGGTGTGTCCTGAATTCAATTACTTCTGAGTTCCAAGGAGCAGTGATAGACACAGAGAAGCAAGCACAGATAGGGGTGGATGCAGTAGATGCCACGTGAAGACTGTCTTCTTTGTGACCTCTCCTGTAGCAGGCAGTTTTGTGTAGAGTCAGCATCTAGTAAATGTTTGATGAATTGAACCTAACATCTTAAATAACTGTTTTAGAACCGCTGACCAGAATCTCATTCTTTTTCAACAGAAACACCCCATGCTGCCTGAGGCGTGAACCTGCCATGGGGAAACACATCTGAGAAGATCTTGTGTCTGGCGGTGTCAGCGTGGATTTCTCAGGCTATACAGGGATGGAGAATCTTCAGCAGTGCTAAACGCATTATTGTCAACTTATGAGATGGCGTCTTCACAAAGGAAAGGGCTGCAAGCAAGGATTCTCAGCTTTGAAGAAGAGGAGAAACTGAAAAGAGACCAAGCTTTGGTGTCTGATTTTAAACAGCAAAAACTGGAAAAAGAAGCTCAGAAGAACTGGGACCTTTTTTACAAAAGAAATAGTACTAATTTCTTCAAAGATAGACACTGGACCACCAGAGAGTTTGAGGAGCTAAGATCGTGTAGGGAGGTAAGCTAATATTTAGCACCTTGTTTGAGCTGTTCTCTGTTTAAAATGTACAGAGGGATGATTTATTTCATTCTTATGAGGAATGTGAAGCAGAGAATTTATGAATCTTATTAAAATGCTTTTTACCTTGGAAGAGAAACATACAGTTTGGTCTCAAGTGGGTTCAGCAGTTTCTGGGATATATAATACACAGAGAGGGCACTTTAATGGGCATTTTCTATTTCGTTAAAGTTAACCTGAAAATCATAAACATTAAATTCATACTGAGTGACTTTAGTGACAGATTAAGAATAATGATAGTGTTAGTGAGCACTTACCATGGCCCATTTCTAAGAACTTTACGTGTGTTCTTGAATTTAAGCTTTATAATAACTCTGTAAAGTAGGTATGATTATCCTCACATGCAGAGGAAATTGAGTCAAAAAGCTATTTAAGTGATTTGCCCAAGAATAGAATAAAACCCAAAACCAAACCCATTGCTGTTTTGGGGTCGATTCTGATTCACAGCGACCCTAAAGGACAGAGTAGAACTGCTCCATAGGGTTTCCAAGGCTGTAAATCTTTATGGAAGCAGACTGCCACATCTTTCTTCTGAGGAGTGGCTGTTGGGTTCAAACTGCAGGCCTTTCAGTTAGCGGCCGAGTGCTTTGACCACTGCGCCACCAAGGCACCCTAAGAATAGAATGAGAGGGGGGCAAATGGAGGAGTTGGGATTTGAATGCAGGCAAGTTAGTCTCAGAACCTGTTCTGTTAGCCATTATACTGTTATTTCTCCACAGCAAACTACCCAATGTTTGAATAGTTAGATGACAAATTAGGTACCAGTATTAGCTTTGGGTTATTAGTTCACTTGTTTATTGTCCACTCTTTAGGGGCAGAGGCCTTGTCTCTCATGTCCTGGACCTGTTAGTTTGGATTATTTTCTCACTATGCAAATGTAAATGTATTGTAACTTTGAGTTCTCTTCCGCAGTTTGAAGATCAAAAATTGACTGTGCTTGAAGCTGGCTGTGGGGTTGGGAACTGTTTATTTCCGCTTTTAGAAGAAGATCTGAATATTTTTGCCTATGCCTGTGATTTTTCTCCAAGAGCGGTTGAGTATGTTAAGGTTGGTGCACCATCCGTGTATTCTGTTGTGCTTTTTTTTTTAAGGCTTTTTTGTCCTCTCTATGCCCATTTGCCCAATTCCAATCCTCTCCCCTAGAGCTAACCAGCTGTTAGCACCGTGGGCTTTAATTTTTCTGTTCCTGTGAGGTGGAATCGACTTGACGGCAACAGGCTTGGTTTTGGGGTGTTTTTTTTTTTTTTTTTTGGTATATGTACATGGAGAAACAGCTTTATTCAGGAGGCAGTCATGTCTGGTAATCTCACTGTTAGTAATGCTAGTTTTGATCACTGGTTGAGGTCATAGCGACCTGATTCCTTCATTGTAAAAAATACTAACTTTGTGCCATTAACAAGTATGTGGGGATACTTTGGCAACATGCAAATATCCAGTTCCCCATCAACCTTGTACAGTTTTAGCATCCGAAAGACTATTTTTTGAAAAATAATGGTAACACAGTGTACTAAAACTTGCTTTCTTCACTCTGCATTATTTCTTACAGAATTTTTCATGTTAGTATGTATAGATATACCACATTTTTTATTTACCTGTTATAGTATTCTATACAATGGATATATCATACTCAGTTTAACACATAACCTATTGATAGTCATTTAAATTATTTCCCTTTTTACTCTTAAAATAGTATTAATGTGACTATCTTTGTACATGCCCCCCAAAACAAATGTGTGTTTCTCTGTGGTGAATAATGGAAGAGTAGAATTCTTGGAGGGGGAAAAAAGGCACATTTAAATTTTAATAGGTAAGGCCAAGTTGCCTTCCAAAAGGATCTTGCCAATAATACAGAAGTACCTTTTTCTTCTTTCCCTCAACAGCATTTGTCATTCTCAGTGTTTTATTTTTCCCAATCTTATGGGCAAAAAAATTATCTCTCTGTATTTTAACTTGTTTTGCTTTGATTACCAGTGAGGTTGAAGACCTTGTCATTTTTAAGTAAGCATTAGTTTTTCTTCTGCTGTGAATTTCTTAATTCAACAAATTCAGTAAATATTGAGAGCCTAATGTTTGCCAATCACTGTTCTAAGTACTGAGATTCAGCAGTGAGCAAAACAGACAAAAATCCCCAGCCATGTGGGGCTTACATTATAGTAGAACCTTTGCCCATTTTTCTGTTTGGTTGTCACTTTCTGTCTTATTCTTGGAATGTTTTCTGTATATTCTTGTTTCTGTTGTATATGTTGCAAACATTTTCTTATATCCCCTGTCTTTCAGAATGGTTTATGGTATCTCGTTTCTTACGCAGAGTTTAAATTATGTTGTCAAATTTATTAACCTTTTCCTTTTGAGATCCTAAGGTTTTCTCTCTTATTTTAGAATTCTTTACCCAAAGGATTTAGACATAATCACCTATATATTTTTATAGTTGGTGGTTATTATATTTTTTAATCTGGGAAATTTTAGCCGTTATTTCTCTAAATGTTTCTTTGGTCCCATTCTCTCCTTTTTCCTTCTGGGACTCCAGTTACATTTATGTTATACCATTTGATATTGTCCCACAGCTTTTGGATGCTCTGCTTTGTTCTTTTCACTTCTTCCTCTTTGTATTTTCAGTTTGTATAATTTCTGTTGTTCTGTCTTCGAATTCATTGATTCTTTCCTGGACAGTATCAAGTCTACTGATGAGCCCATCAAAAGCATTCCTTATTTCTGTTACTGAGGTTTTTTTATTTCTAGCATTTACATTTTTTTTTCTTATAGCTTCTATCTCTCTGTTGAGATTAACTATCTGATCTTATATATTGTCTACCTTTTCCATTAGAGCCTTTAATATATTAATATTAAGCATTGATTTTAAATGTCTGGTCTGATAGTTTCAACTTCTGTGTCATATTTGAGTCTGGTTCTGATGATTGCTTTTTCTCTTCAGACTATGTTTTTTCTTGCCTTTTGATATGCTTTGTACTTTTTTGTTGAAAGCCTGACATGTTACATTGGGCAGTGGATACTGAGGTAATAGGGGTTTGTAATAATCTAGATAGGAGTTTGGCTGTGTTTTAAGTTTGTTGTTGCTGTAGTTACCAGTGTTGAGGTATCTGGTTGCTATGGACACCAGAGACTTCAAACTCCTCTAATGACTTTATTTTTGCCTCCCTTCTTGCCTTTGGGTCTTCCGTTTATACTGTTCCCCGGAGAGAGTATGTCTCTTGCAGCTCTCCCAGCTGTAATCCACTGCTGTTATTACTGGAGACATTTTAGTGTGGTGGTGGGATGGAGGGGAGGAGAGCACTCCCTAATGCTCTGTTAAGTCCCAGTTTGTAAGTGCACAGTGGGCCTGGGTCTCAGGGGTGTAGCCTTCACAAGTATTTCTGTCTCTCTAGGAGTAGAGCTTTTCTCCCCTTGCCCACCTTTCCCCAGCTGCAGGGAATATCCGCCGGTCTCCTCTCTATGGTCTTTGAGGCATTCCCCCTGCAGATTAAGGCTGAGTCTGGACAGAGTAGTTCCTTTTCCACACCTGCAGTGGTATGCCACCTGTGCCTTTAAGCTACAGGCCTCAGATGACATTTCCCTGCAGATTAAGCCTAAAGCTGTTCTTTCTTGTGGGAGATTAAGAGGCCAACACTATAAAGCTCCAGAATCCCTGTGAGCCTGGTGGAGTTCCTAGAGAAAACACCTGCAAAAGGTGGGAACATCCGATGACTTTGTCCGCAGGAGCTCCTGGGGGAGCTTCACACTTTCATGCTAGCCTACATTTGGCCTCCAGAAATTTGTAAAATTTCTAGTTTAATTTCCCAGGCAGGAGGCTTCTGCCTTGGTAAGCAAATGCTTGGCTCCTGTCTCTCTCTAGATTTTGGGGTGGCCAATTGTTCTGTGGCCTTAGTGCTCGGGTAGTTTGACAAGAAGTCATTACTTTGCTGTCTGTTTAGCTTTTTTCTTTTTGTAAGAATGGGACGCTGTGTCTTTCTGCTTCTCTACACTTCCAAGCCCCTGGGTGGTGCAGAAAGTTAACAAACTCGGTTGCTGGTGCTTCAAGTCCATCCAGAAACACCTTGAAAGAAAGACGTGGCAGTTTACTTCCAAAAAAATCGGCCATTGAAAACTCTGTGGAGCACAGTTCTACTCTGACACACATGGGGTCTCCATGAGTCGGAATTGACTCAATGGCAACTGGTTAACTGGTTTACATCTCTGAACTAAATCTGGAATTTCTCTAATTCATTTGGAATTCTTATTTTTTAATGAGTTTTCAAATGGGTAGCCATTTGTCCAAACATGATAAATTGAATGAGAAGTCTATTTTCCCTCACTGGTAATTGTCATTTTTATTATCTATTTTTAAATCTAATTGTTACCTATCTTTCATCATATATAATACTAAATTACTATATATGTGTATATATATATGAATCTGATTCCAGACTTTTTATTCTGTCCCAGTGATCTATTGTCACATTCCCAAACCACATTGTTATATTACTACATTTTGTAATGTTTTGATGTCTGGTAGGGTATCTCCCCTTTCATTGTTCTTCATTTTAAAATTTGACTTGACTATTCCTAAAGAGTTTCTCTTTCAGAAAAATTGTCCACCCTGTCAACTTTGAATCTCTATTGGGATTCAATTGAGATTGCATTGGACTTGTAGGTGGAATTATGGGTAGAAATGACACCTTTTTTAAAAAATTTTTTTTTATTGTACTTTAAATGAAGGTTTACAGAGCAAACAAGTTTCTCAATAAACAATTAATACACATATTGTTTTGTAACATTGGTTGCCAATTCCACTACATATCAACAGTCTCCGCTTTTCGACCTTAGGTTCCCCATTACCAGCTTTCCTGTCCCCTCTGCCTTCTCGTTCTTGCCCCTGGGCTGGTGTGCCCATTTAGTCTCCTTTTGTTTTATGGGCCTGTCTAATCTTTTGCTGAAGGGTGAGCCTCAGGAATGACTTAATTACTGAGCTATAACGGTGTCCGGGGGTCATATCCTTGAAGTTTCTCCAGTCTCTGTGGGACCGGTAAGTCTGGTCTTTTTTTTTTTTTTTTTTAGTTAGAATTTTGTTCTACATTTTTCTCCAGCTCTATCCAGGACCCTCTATTGTGATCCCTGTCAGAGCAAGAGAAATGACATCTTGTCAGTATTGACCCTTCCTGTCCAAAAACTTGTTTATCACTATTTATCATTTACATTAGAGAAAAGTTTACTATTTTTCTTTATAATACTCTTATACATGTGTCAAAGCTCACCAACTAGAATGTACCAGGAACCCACATGTAGTCAGAAACGTTAGGTTTGTTTACTTGCTACAGCAAGGAAAAATATACCTTAGAACGCACTAAGTATATCACGGGAACATCTCAGTAAGGGGAATTGGAAGGGCTTCTGATAGGATTGGGGCATATACTGGGTGATTCAGAGGAGGGTTAAGGAAGCAGAGGCCACCTGTGGATTATCATCTCTCTGGAAATATACACTTCTAAAAGGCTCAGTTCTGAGTATGTGATAGAGTATATTCTCTCCCCAGTTAAAAATAATTTGTTGAAATGAAGTCTTACCTCTTGTAGCAATATTTAAGATTACATGCTTTATATGAGAATGGTTCAATACTCAGTTTTACCCAACAACAAAGCGAGCGTTCGTTTCTGTGCAGCATTACACAAGTGGAAACAGGGTGTCCCTTTGATGCTGTATTTTTTTATATTGACATAGTTGTTAGATTAAAATTCTTTTGTGTGTTTTTGTCCCTTCCTTTCTAGCAAAATCCTTCATATAACACAGAAAGATGCAAGGTATTCCAGTGTGATCTGACTAAAGACGACCTTCTGGAACATGTACCCTCAGAGTCTGTGGATGTTGTCATGTTGATATTTGTGCTCTCAGCTATTCACCCAGACAAGATGCACCTTGTCTTACAAAATGTTTACAAGGTAAGCAATTTGAGGCTTGCACTTGAGGACTGGCCATCCCAATCTTTTGCTTCACTTCGCTCTGAGGCCCATGTTCTGTCTAGATTCAGAGTCTGCCATTCTCACCAGGTAGGCTGCACAGTCAGTGCATGGAAAGGGTATGAAATGTTCACCCTAAATTATGGTCTGTGCAGTGGCCGTGGTGGCTGCTCTTCAGAGCTTGGCCAGCTTATTATTGAGATAATAATACCCAGATCATAGAATTTTGCAAGATTAAATGAGATATGTGTAAAGTACTAGCACAACACCTACAACATGGTAAGTGCTTTTTAAAAGGTAATCATAGTTGTTGTGGTTATTGTTATTGCCATCGTTGTTGTTGGAGTGGGGAGAACCCAAACTGCTGTGGCCACCAGGAGGCTGCCTTAGCACGCAGAAGGTAAAGCTTCACCCGTTAGTCTTGTGATAAGCCACCTCCGCTTCCATCTCTGAGCCTCAGTTTCCTTGCCTGTGAGACGGTGGTACCTCTCACAGGGTGATTATGACATGCAGGTGAGATCATGTGTGAAGGTGTTTTGTTAGCTACAGTAGAAGCTCTCATTTACACAAACAATTGGTAACAGTGTCAGTTAATTTAAAAAATCAATTTAACCAAGAAATTGTAAAAATGATACATTCTTATCTTAAACCTTTTATTGTAACTTAAAATATATCAGCATATGTTCATTCATCACTTTTTTGACTTAAGACCAAGGCCTTTTCTTTGAGTATGAGACCATTGATTGTCTTTCATACATGACCATACACATAATGTAGTTTTGGTTTCTTCAAAAGGGAGCAAGAACTTAAAGACAATTGGAAAGTAATCAGAGGGCAGAGTCTTTTATGATTTTACCTAGACTTTTATAGTTGACTCACCTGCACCTAATTAAACAGCAGTTTGTTCAGTACTTCTTTTTCAAGGGAAGAATTCAACTTACTTTTCATAGAAAGTAAAACTGCTTTCTATTCACATTCATATTTTATTGTTTCTACACTCTCTTTGTAGAGTATATAATTATAAAACCAAGTACAACTGGCATAAGCAAATTTGGAAGCAAACCCAAGTGACTCATGGTGAGCGTGGATTCACGGAGCGGGGGTATTACCACAGCATGAGGGTGGATGATCTAGAAAGCCTACCAGCCTCAGATGTTCAGTAGGGCACGGGCTTCAGTCCTGCCTTACAGAGGGAGAGCAGAGCATTCAACAAGTCAAAAAAGTAGATGTTGGTTAAAAGAGCTTCTGTTGTATTTAGAGCTATATATCAAAATTTAACCTGGTTTTAATTGTTTTAAAGTAAGTGTTGTTGTTGTTAGGTGCCATCGAGTTGGTTCCGACTCATAGCGACCCTATAGACAGGGTAGAACTGCCCCATAGGGTTTCCAAGGAGCGCCTGGTGGATTTGAACTGCCGACCTTTTGGGTAGTAGCTGAGCTCTTAACCACTACACCACCAGGATTCCTTTAAAGTAAGTAGTGAGGTAGAAATTCCAAGACACCAGAAACCTATTAGGTAATCGTTCTTACTTAAAACAGTGTTTTTGGTAATTCACATATTACCACACAGGTTTTAGCCCTCTGCTTGTGAAGTTTGGGGAGGTTTCTTCTCCTTACCTTCTTTCCCTCTGCCCCTGATATCTGAGCGGATCAGAACCAACATACACCCACAAAGGGACATGATACTTAAGCTGGGTAAAGAGGGAGTAGAGAGCATGTCAACTGGAGTTTTCCAGAGAAACAGAACCAATAGAGGGTGTGTATGCATTGTGTGTGTGTGTGTCTGTGTCTGTCTGTGTCTGTGTGTGTCTCTGTGTGTGTGTGGTATGTGTGTATGTATAAGGGGGGAAATGGACTGGTTTTAAGGAATCGGCTCATGCAATTTTAGGGGCTGGCAAGTCTGAAATATGTAAGGCAGGTCAGCAGGCTAGAAACTCAGGCAGGATTTGATGCTGCTGTCTCGAAGCAGGATTTCTTCTTTTGCAGGAAACCTCAGTTTTTGCTCTTAAAGCTTTCAACTGATTGGATGAAGCTTACCCACATTATCAAGGGTAATCATTTAAAGTCAAGTGGTTGCAGATGTTAACCACATCTTCATAACACCTTCACAGCAACATCTAGGTTAGTGTTTGATGAATTGGATATTGTAGCTTAGCAAAGTTGACACCTAAAATTAACCATAACAGAGAGCATCAGGGAAGAGATGGTGGGATCAGTGATTTGGAGGTCCAGGTGAGTGTGAAGGATTATTAAAGGTGGGGAACTAGAGAGAGAAGGCTGGAAGGGTGGAAAGGTAGTCAGAGAGTAACTTGCATGGCATTGAGAGTATGGAGGGGTTATACTTCTTACTGTTGGCTAGGTGTAGGACGTGACCATGAATGGAGGGTGGAGGACAAAATCTTTTGAAGAGGGAAGCTCAAATCGTGATGAGAGACCAGCATATCTGGAAGGATAGCCCACATGTATATTGAACTTGCCTAGAATTAAGAATGGAGTAGCCTTGATGATAGAACAGTAAGCCAGAAGGTAAACTCATTATGAAATGGAAGGAAATGGCCCTGGAACTGATAGATGACAGTAATGAGAAGGAATAGTGGATGATGTAATCTGATGAAAGGGATTCAGAGCTGGGGGAAGCAAGGAGAACACCAGCCCCCATTCAGGCCCACTGGTACAAGGTTCATGGGAGAAAACAGCCATAACGTAAGAGGTTGCATCGAAAACACTGACTTCAAGGGATAGCCAGGTTTCCGTTGGAACAAGAATGTGAAGGGAACTTTCAGAAGAAGTTATGGATACTAGTGATTTCACTGATAAAGGGTTTCAGAAATTAGGGAAGAGTGGGAGATGGAGTTAGAATAAGGAATGTCCAGAGCGTTATGGAAATGAGAGTGCCCATTATTAATATGTCTATTCTGCATTGTACTGGGGGTCCTACTCAGCTCAGATAAGGAAAAAAAATAAAGATTTAAGAATGAGAAAGAAATAAACAAAACTCATTATTTGTAGACAATATGGTTGTCTAAATAGAAAATACTGAAGGAATTAAAAAGTATAAGAAGTGGTAAGAATTGAACAAAGAGGCTGGGCATAAGATCATTATGGAAAAATCAACTTATAATACAAAGAAAATGTAACTTAAAAAAAAAACTTTCTGAATAGCAATATAAAAATAAAAGGTACCTAAGAATGAATCTAATGATGTGCAAGACCTGTACAGAGTGAATTATATAGTTTAATTGAAGGACATTAAATAAAATTTATATTGAGAGCAATACTATATTCATGAATTGATAGCTCCTTTATCTGAGCCATGTGATTCCAATAAAAATTCCAAAAGTTTCTTGTTTTTTTTTGACAAAATAACAAGTGGATTCTAAAGTCACATGAAAGAACATAGGCCCAAGAATAGTCAAAACACTCCTGAAAACGAGTAAGGTGAGAGGATTTACATCCTCCCAGATATAAAGCTACAGTAATTAGGCAAAATGGTATTGATAGAGAGACAAATTGACAAATGGACTGTGATGAGCACTTAAAAATAGATCTATACATATATGGAAATTTGATATATAATAGAGATGGCATTAAAGACCACTGGGAAAGAAGGGCTACTTAATAAAAGATGGCAGGGACCATTGGTCATCCATGTGGGAAAAAATGAAGTTTGATTCATACTTCATATGCTATGGAAAAATCATTCTCAGGTGAATTAAAGACTTAAATGAACAGACAAAATTTTAAAACTTTCAGAAGGAAATGTAGGGGAAATCTTTATAACCTCTTTAGGGGATACGTTTTCTCAAAGACTCAAGGCGTTTTAAACATAAAGATGATTATAATAAAATTAAGAATTTCTGTTCCTCAAACAACAATATGGCAAACTAAAAAGGCAGGTTGGGAAAAGAAATTTATAATCCATACAATAGACGAAAGATTAATATCCAGAATATGTAAAGAATTCCTGTGTATCAGTAAGAAAGACAACTCAGTAAAAAAAATGAGCAGACATGATTAGTCATTTTATAGCAGAGAGCCTAGGTATGACGAATTAACATGAGGAAATAACCTCAGTAATCCGGAAAATGTAGCATAAAACCATGAGACACTATGAGATAAGCAAAATTAAGAAATCTGACAAAGCCAAGCACTGGTGAGGATATGGATCTGTAGGATCCCATATAGTTTTCTGTAGGAGTATAAATTGGCATAACCACTTTGGAAATCAATTTGACATTATTTTGTAGATTTCATCACTTGGATCAATATGAACCAGCCTTCCACTCCTACCTATATTCCCTAAAGAAACTCTTACCCACATGCACCAAGAGACATGTAGGAGAGTGTTTATGAGAGCAATGTTTGTAATAGCAAACAACTGAAAATAACTCAAAGTCCCATTGATAGAGGGTATGTAAGGTGTGCTAGATCATTTATCAAGATCTAGTGGTAGGTCTAATAAACACCATGATTTTGAAATAGCGATGAATGTAAACTGAGGCATCTCCGACAACTGTACCATGATGTGAACATATTTGTGACTTCTATTAGTGAGAAAATGTTTTGTTGTCTACATTTATAATTGAAGGAATGCTAAATTTCAGTTAGTAGTGAAACTAAAGGTGTAACTTTTTTCCTACCTAAATTTGCAGTCTCCCTAAATTCTAACCTTAGACCCTTTGGGTCTGTGGACTCTATATGTTACTAGGTTGTTGCTAGGTGCCGTCGAGTCAGTTCCGATTCATAACGACCCTATGTACGACAGAACGAAACACTGACTGGTCCTGCACCATCCTCAAAATTGTTGCTGTTTAAGCCCATTGTTGCAGCCGCTGTGTCAGTCCATCTCATTGAGGGTCTTTCGACTTTTTGCTGACCCCCTGCTTTACCAAGCATGATGTCCTTCTCCAAGAGCTGTAGATTAGGACTCTGGATTAGGAACCCCTACTCTCAGAGAAGGCAGAGGGATGATACAGGTGAGGCACATACAGGGAGATGCAACAGTATTGATGATATTCTACTTCTTAAGCTGGGTGGTGGGTTCCACATCTTATGTTAAGTGCATTTTTGCATTTTCTTGAGGTTTAACATATATGTAATAAGAAACTAAATCCTAAGTGTTCCATTAGGTAAGTTTTTACATGTCCATATACTCATGTAAACACCACCTACATATAGGTTCTAGCATCCCTGCAGGCTTCCCAGTGCTCCCCCTCCCCAGGCCCCAGGTAACCACTGTTCTGATCTGTGTCATCATAGATTAGTTTCACCTGTTCTTGAACTTTCTATAAATGGAAACGTATGATATGTTAAGGATATTTTCGTAGGGATGAAATGTTACGTATATTGAATTGAGCCACCTCAGGCCGTACCCTGCCCCTGTTGTAACCTTTCTTCAGTAACAAATTTCATTTCAGCAGTCCTCCTGCTTTTGCTTCCCACTAGAAACCATTTTTCAGCTAATCTAGAATGAGTTTACAGCACCAGTCTGATTACCTCTTTTCTGTTGTCCTAGTGACTGGTTCATTAATTTGACATCATGTGCTTCATCAGGAAATTACCTGAGGGAGAGGCAGTCTCTCAGCCTCTGACAATAAGACACTGGTGGGCAGCTCTGAAGCCTGGCGCAAACAACCACAGTAATAGGCAATTGTCTTAGTCATGCAGTGCTGCTGTAACAGAAATACCACAAGTAGATAGCTTCAACAAAGAGAAATTTATTCCCTGACAGTCTAGTAGGCTAGAAGTCCAAATTCAGGGCGTCTGCTCCCCGGGAAGACTTTCTCTGTCGGCTCTGGAGGAAGTTCCTCGTCATCGGTTGTCCCCTGGACTAGATGCTTCTCTGCACAGGAACCCCAGGTCCAAAGGACACGCTCTGCTCCCAGCACTGCTTTCTTGGTGGTATGAAGCCCCCCAACTCTCTGCTTGCTTCCCTTTCCTTTTATCTCTTGTAAGATAAAAAGTGGTGCAGGCCACACAGCAGGGAAACTCCCTTTACATTGGGTCAGGGATGTGGCCTGAGCAAGGGTGTTACATCCCACTCTAATCCTCTTTAACCACAGGCAGAGATTATGATTTATAACACATAGGAAAATCACAAAATGGAAGACAACCACATAATACTGGGAATCATGGTCTAACCAGTTGACACATATTTTTGGGGGACACAATTCAATCCATGACAGTGGTTGTAACAGTCCTAATTTTCTCCAGATTTTAACTCTAGAGAAATAACAGTGGAATTTTAAACTGGAAGACAACCTTAAAGTTGAACTCCCAGGTTTTTGGAATAGAATGGTGAAGAACAGACCACATTTGCCATCGGAAGACCTGGATTTTGATCTTCCCTATTCCACCAATTTGCCTTGAGACCTCGGCAAGTTACTTTTACTAGGAGCCTTACTTAGTGTCAATGGGTATAATCTACCCACTTCTTGGGGTTGTGTGAGAATGAAAGAACATGACGTTGGCAAATGCCTGGTAAACGATAACAGCACCATGGTCAACGGAGGCATTAGTCTCTTACTTACTGTTTTACAGACAAGAAAGCAGATTCAGAGGGATGAAATTACTTGCTAAAGATCCTTCAGCTAGTTAATGGAAGAACTGAGAGTTGAATCAAGATTTCCAGATTCCTGAGTGAGTGTTCTTTCCACTATCCATGTAGCCTTTCCTTCCTTCTGAAATGAAGAATAAGTTTTCTCATGTGCACTGAATCAGTTATTCACATTTTAAAACTTACCATTTCTGAACAATGTGAAATTGTTGTTATCCACGAGGCTCTTTACTGACTGCCTTTGAAATGCCTGCTGGTATTGACAGGAATCAAGTAAGCAAGGAAGTCTGCTCGCACACTGGGAAGCATTGTGGACTACACGTTCATGTTCTGTTCAGAAAGAGGAAGTGTACTCCAAACTGCATTTAGAACAGTTTACAGCACAGCACATACTCTTTCAAAGGAGAAAAAAATTATTACAATAAGTGGCACGTGTCCGTTTTAAAGTAAGTATCTTAAAAATCAACTTGTTGGTGAGATGGGTCAGAATGACAAGATTTAATAAAATTAGTTCCTCCTTTGAAGTTCCCTCTCATTGGTATGGGACACAATTTGAAAGAATTTTCATGTAAAAAGCAAGTGCCACAGTGCATACCACTTTTCATTTTGAAAAGCACGTGACCCTTTGTTATATAAGATAGGGGCAGTTATACCCACTATACTGCTAATCTTGCCTTCTGATCTTTGAAACATCTTCTCCTCTGACACCTTATCTCTGAAAGGCGCTGCCATGGGACTCACCACTTGGTGCTGGCACTGACCCATTTCCTAAACTCCTGCCCTCTGGCCTGAGGACCCACTCCTCTTCATACACGAGGTTGACCCGAAGTTCCCTCTCCTCTCTGAGCTTCTTTTTTCTTGTCAGTAGTGTGAAGGGGTGACCTGATTCTACAGTAAGACCGTTTGACCTAAGCATGAGTCCTGACTCTCTTACTTAGTAGCTAGCGTGTGATCAGGAGTTAATCACTTAACCTCTTCTAGTCTCAGTTTCCTTATCTCACATGAGGATAATAATTACGCTCCTTCCTGTCTTCTAGAATTGTGGTGAAGATTTGATGAGAAAATGTCTGGTAAGCTGTAGAGTGCTAGGCATGTATTAGTTACTAACATAGTGGGTGAGCTATATATGATTGTAGCCACATATAGTGAAACCATAGCTGAGACTCCGAATGAGGAAAACCAGCCCAAATCAGTAAAAAGCAGAACTACATAATAGTTTTTTAAAGAGGAGGTTTGATATAGGATCACTTACTACAAGAAGGCTAATAAAACGTTGAAAGAACATTTTGCCACATAGAGGTCCTTGAATGTGCTTTAATGAGGATTAGGGTTTTTCATTTATTGTCTTTAGCATTTTAGTTGTATATCACTGGACCTTCTAGAGTGCTCTTGGAGATGCTCAAGAAGTGTCTTTCCAAGGTTATTGGGTCCCTGCCAAGTCTGACTTATTCCTTTGATTGTTGTTGGTTGCCGTCAAGTCGGCTCTGACTCATGATGGTCTTCTGTATAATGGAACAAAATGTTGCCCGTAATCTTTGATTAGCAGATCCTTCATAAGCATATGGCCCCTTTCATAATTACCACAAATTCTAAATTATTTTAATCCCTAAATTAATAAGATTTTATTTTATAGTAAGCTTCATTTGACTAGATTCCCTACTTACCTGCAGTCTACTTTTGTTTTGTAGGTATTAAAACCAGGCAAATGTGTCTTATTTCGTGACTATGGGCTGTATGATCATGCTATGCTCAGGTTTAAAGCCGGCAGCAAGCTTGGAGAAAACTTTTATGTTAGACAAGATGGAACCAGATCCTATTTTTTTACTGATGGTAAGATGAATGGAATCTCACCAGAAAATGTTTTTTTCTTTATTTCCATTTACTCGGTTGCATTGTGGTGCTGGTTTGGGGGAGCAGAGGGTTGCAGCTGTACTTAGCAGACATGCATGAGACCATGGAACCAGCTCTACATTGCTCACCACTTACCGAGCCCCTGGGACAACACAGGCATGGCCCCTGCCCGAGGGCTCTTACAAGCCTTCTCTGGGTGACAGTGTCAGTCAGGGAGCCTAGTGAGTGGGCAGGCTCTGACCTGCCACACGGACGCCCTGCTGAAAACTGTGCTGGAGAAGCGGGGAGGGCAGTGTAGGAACATTACTGTTTAGTAAGGAATGAAGCCCATAGGACGTTTAGGGTCACACCTTGAGTTTACTTTCCCAGGTCACAAAGGTAAGATGCCTTTTTCTGTAAATGTGATTGGATCGATTTTTAAATACACAGATTTGTCATAGAGTAGTGGTAAGAGAGTTAAGAAAAACCATCTACTGGACCAATGGACATGGAGAACCCAGGGTGGAAGGGGAAAGAGGGACAGTGCTTACATGCTGCGTGGATGGCGACTAATGTCACAAAGGAATTTCTGATAAAATTTTTGAATGAAAACCTAATTTCCGCTGTAAACTTTCACCTGAAACACAGTAAAATTTAAAAAACAACAACAAAAAAGAAAAACCCATCTAAATGCCTAACATTTCAGAGCCTTTTAGGTCTGTTGAATATTAGTTTTAAGCCTGCCTAATAATGTGGACCTTCTTAACCTCTGTTTCTACAAACATTTTTATTTCTTGATTGCCATTAAAACTGCAAAATCTTAAAAATATCAGATGATGGATCAAAGACCTAAATATAAAGCCAAAAACTATGAAGTTCATAGAAGAAAAACTAGGACGAATGCTACAGGCACTAATACACAGCATTAACAGGATACAAACCGTAACCATCAACACAGAAACCCCAGAAGATAAGCTAGATAACTGGGATCTTCTAAAAATCAAACACCTATGCTCTTCAAAAGACTTCACCAAAACAGTAAAAAGAGAACCTACAGACTGGGGAAAAAATTTTGGACAGTACAAGTCAGACAAAGGTCTAATCTCCATAATCTACAAGAAAATCCAACACCTCTACAACAAAAAGACAAAGACTCCTATTAAAAAAATGGGCAAAGTAAATGGACAGACACTTCACCAAAGAAGACATTCAGGCGGCCAATAGACACAAGAGGAAATGCTGCCGATCACTAGCCATTAGAGAAATGCAAATTAAAACCAAAATGAGATACCATCTCACCCTGGCATTACTGGCACAAATCAAAAACACTGGAAATAACAAATGTTGGAGAGGCTGCAGGGAGATCGGAACTCTTATGCACTGCTGGTGGGAATGCA